TGGCTCAACAGCCACATACAGCTCTGTGTAAAAGATCAGCTTCCTAAGTACAAGGAATTACAAGTGCTCAGCTCCAGCGATGAGAATAAGGTGGGCCCTGCAGAGGATAGGTTCAGCAATGCAGCAGTCCGACAACACAACGCTGGTGCTCCCCAATGCAGTGCAGCCGCACGAGACATGCACAAACACGCGCGTCTGCCAGCTGCGACGCCGCATCACATCCCTCGTACGCACCGATTGCCTGACCTTAGGAGTGCTCTGTTAATTCAGCTGATAAAAATTATGATCCTGGGTTACTTCCTAAGTGACAATAACTTGGTGCTAGTCATTGTTTCCAAGCTGTATCTACCCGGGAAATTCAGTTTCCTTCCTTGGATTGCTTGCTTTTTCCATAGTATTAACTGCTATCTAGGGAAGACCTAGCCCAGCAGCCACTTGAAGGCTCTCAGCAAGAGAAGTTCTAGCTGGGGCTGCTCTGCCTTGTCGCCCAGGCTGAGCTTTCACAAGTCCATAATTTCAGCCACAGGCTGGGTCTACTAAGAAGATACCAGATCCCAGGTGCAGGCTTGTAAAGCCTGGTGAAGGGTAGAGGCATTTAAATGTAAGGGGGTGAAATACCCATTTTTTTGTGTGAAGTCCATCTTCTGGGATGGTGTAAAACCAGAGAAACGAAGGGAAGGAGGAAAGTCAAAACTCTGGGGTCTGATATACACCTTCCAAAAAGTGCTTCATATGCAAAGATCTTGCAATCATGGCTTAGCAGGCTCTCCCTGCTAGAGGTGAAATTATGCCCCAGCCTGGGCTGAGCTACAGCTCTCACATCCCATTGCAAACTTAATACTTCTTTTGACGAAGCATCATGTAGAACAGCCTAATCCTGCAAATTGTGGGTGGACAAAATTAAAATATATCGCACAGATTGATAACACCGTATCTCTGCTGCAGACTATTACAGCCAGCCATCCACTGAGGGCTTCCTGCTGCCAGACTGCACATCGAAATGGAGGAAAAATGCTTACGGGAAGTTTTTATTTCTAGTAGGAGATCAACTGAATACAGCCAAATGATGATTTCTTAACAAGGCATGAGGCTAAAAGTGTTTTTTTAGAAAAAATCCTGTAGCATAGAAGCGTAGTTTGACTCTACAGATTGGATCAGGTTAAACCTGCAGGACTAGAAGTTAGATAAAGGAACTTTGATTTGACTTATAAAACTCAACAAGTGTGATCTGGAAGTCATTGATGGAGAATAAATGCAGAACACTAAGATGTAGAACTTTTACAGCCTCACTTTTCAGGCCATATAACTACACTTTAGAATTTAAAACAGCTGCTGTTCACCAGCATGTCTCCAGTGCCTAATTTGTAATCACGTAGCGGCAGCATGCCAAGTTTCCAGAATCTTTTTCCCAGAGCATCAATAGTGTTCATAACATCTCTGCCTACTGATGAGATCATGAAAAGAAAGGACTCTCGCTTGTACCTTTCTCTGTGTTTGGCTGAGACATCCTACAGCTTCCTTGGTAGTGAAAACCTCTGTTAAGCATTGCCTTTCAAAACTCAACTATTCTTTAGTCCCAGATAGATTTATATTTTATAACGCCTATTTCTGTGTAAACAATGACACCAAAACAATCCAAACCAATTTCCCAGGAACTTCAAGGTCTTTAGGTAACTGTCCTGGTTTTGGCTGGGATAGAGATGTTTTTTCTTCCCGAAAGCTGGTATAGTGCTGTGTTTTGGATTTGGTATGAGAATAATGTTGATAACACTGATGTGTTTGGTTGTAAAGTAAGCCATGACAGTAACACCAAGCCTTACACAGAAGAACGAGCTAGGAATTAAAACATCTTTCTGAAGGGTTTTGTAGCACACAAAAGGAGCTGCATCTGTGCTAAAGTCTCGTGCAAAGGGAGGAGGTCTGGCTGCGGAGGGTGGCTCCCACCTTGCAGCACCCCAGGGAGAACGGGAGAAAAGGACAAAACACGGGTCTCCTGGCATTGCAGGAGGAGGTCTGAGAGACCTCACAGGAGAGGTGAGGACATCTAGAAGGAAGCAACGGGATCAGTTTGGGAGAACTGATGGTTCCCAGAAACTCTGGGGAGGGCAGGAGAGACGAGGGAGTTTCAGGAGGAGGAAGGCAGAGGAAGAAGCCAGGTGCTGCCAGTCCCCCCCACTGTCTGGACCCAAAGGTGGATGAGTCGAATGCAAAATTCAGAGAAGAGAAATGAGAAAGGAAAGAAATCCAGACCTGGTGAGGCTCTGGAGTGGGAGCATTCCACCGCCCTCGTCTCAGCACAGCGGTTTGCTCCCTAGCACAGGCATAGCTTAAGCAGGATCTTGATTAGGCAGCCTTTGAAACGAGGGAGACCCAAGAACCGAGGCCAAGCAGGGTCTCTCACGAGCACAGGAAAAGGCTTTGGCTGTGCTGCTGGAGGGCCCGTGTGCGAGCAGAGGGGAGGGGAGACGTGGCTTCAGCTGCTGGTCGGTTTGTATGGGGCAGGATAAAGAAAAGCCGTACTTCCCCGCCGGAACGTCCCCCGAAACAGGAAGGCAAAAGCTCCTTACACCGTTAATACTTACTTTCAGGCCTGGGGGGCCAGGTGAGCCAGGGTTTCCGTGGGGACCTGGGGGACCCTAGAAAACACAGCACACAAAAGAGAGTCAAAAGGAGTCAGTAGGCACCTGCGTGAGTCCCGGGAGCTGCAGAGAGCCGCGGGCTGT